ATGTGAGCTATTATGAACTATGCTGCATAAAATAATGTTTATTATTCAAAAACATTTTTTTGCACTGTATAAATTTTTATGTGGATGAACATGTTTTCAATTCTTTTGACTGCACACCTACAAGAGGAAATGCTGGGTCATATGGAAATTCTATGTTTGGTCTTTTGAGGAACTGCTACAATTTCTTCCAAAGCAAATGCATCATTTTACATTTTTTTAATATATAATTTTTTGGTTGTTGATGGACCTTTATTTCATTTTATTTATTTATATGCAGTGCTGAGAATCGAACCCAGTGCCTCACACATTAGGTAAGTGCTCTACCACTGAACCACAACCCCAGCCCCTCATTTTACATTTTTAACAGTTAAAATATGAGGATTCCACTTTCTCTATATCCTCTTTAATACGTTAATACCTATCTTTTTCTAGGAACTGGGGATTGAACTCAGGGCCTCATGCATGTTAGGCAAGCACTCTACCACTGAGCTATATCTTTGGCCCTTTTTTTTAAACTTTATTTTTGAGGCAGGGTCTTGCTAAATTGCCCAGGCTAATCTCAACTTTGTGATCCTCCTGTCTCAGCCTCCTAACTCGCCAGGATTTCAGGTGTAAGTCAGTATGCCTGGCATTATCTGTCTTTTAAATTACAGCCATCCTAGTGGGTATCAAGTAGTACCTCACCCCAGCAGCTCAAGAGTCTGAGACAGGAGGATTGCAAGTTCAAAACCAGCCTCAGCAAAAGTGAGGTGCTAAGCACTTCAGTGAGATCCTGTCTCTACAACAAATCCCCAAACAAAACAAAACAGGGCTAGGGATGTGGCTCAGTGGTTGAGTGTGGCCTCCCCCACCCCCACTCCGTCCCCAAAAAAGTGATATCTCACTAGAATTCTGAACTGCATTTCCCTGTTGCCAAATTATATTGAACACCTTTTTCACATGCTTATTGACTGTGTATCTTCCTTGGTGAACTCTCTGTTTGGATATTTTCTCCATTTTTAAATTGGATTGTTTGTCTTTTTATTATTGAGTTGCAATAGTTCTTTATATATTCTAGATAACACTTCTTTATTAGATAAATGATTTGTAAATATTTCCCCCTGTCTTTTCATTTTCTTTTTGATGTTCTTCGAGGCACAAAAAAGTTTTCAATGAAGGTCAATATTATGGTTTGGATGTGAGGTGTTCCCTAAAACCTCCTGCTAATGCAGGAATATTTAAGGTGAAATGATTAGAACACGAGAACTGTGACTTGACCAGTCCATTCTAGTTTGAATGGACTAACTGGGTGGTAACTAAGCAGATGTGGCATGGCTGGAGGAGGAAGGCCATTGGGGACATGACCTGGAAGGGTGCATCTTCCCTCTGGCCCCTTCCTCCCTATCTCACTACCTGTTCCCCCTTCCCCTTCTCTCTGCTTCCTGACCCTGCCATGAACTGACAGTTCTTCTCTGCTGGGTCCTTCCTCCATGATGTTGCTGCCACTTCACCCTGGGTCCAGAGCAGTATAGTTGGCCATCTATGAAACTTTCATTCCCAAATAAACTTTCCATTCTCTTAGTCATTCTTGTTGGGTGTTTTTGACCACAGTGATGAAAATGCTGACTAAGACAACCAATTTATCTACTTTTTCTTTACTTACTTGTGCTTTTGGTGTCACACCTAAGAAACCATTGCTTAATCCAACATCACAAACATTTTTGCTTGTTTTCTTCTAAGAGCTTTTAGGTTTAGCTCTTACATTTAGGTCTTTGATCTATTTTGAGTTACTTTTGTAACTGGTATTGAGGTAGATATTTAAAATTGTACATAAAGGCTAGAACTGGTCTCCTGTTCTCAAAATTCTGAGGTCTGAATGTGTAGCTCAGAATCCTAATTCCAACTCATGTGATCTTGGACAAGATACTCGATCTCTCTTGGCATTGATATTCTAGTCTGTAAACTGGAGATACAATCCAAAAGATGAGACTTAAATACCTACACTACACACAAGCACTGAATAGAGTGCTTGCCATTCAGTAGGCATTTCAACAGAGTTCAAATATTTTTTATCACCTTCTAAATATCACTTAAGTTCATCTGTTTTCACTAGTTTCAAAATTTCTACCTTACTTGAGGTCACCAACATTTCTTACTTGGATTACTAAGTCCTATTCTTAAATGGTTTCCTCACCTCTAAACTTATTCTTCTGCAAATTCACTCTTTACTCTGAACCCATAATGACCATTATAAAATGCATATCTGATCATGTGTCCGTCTTCTATATTTCAAAAAATGATCTGCTGGTGCCCCAAAGATGAAGTCCCAATGTGTTAACAACTAGGACATGAAGCCTTTTAGGTCTGACTGCTATTTACTTCTCCAACTTCATCTTTTACTACTACCCCTAACCAGGACCAAGACTACTTCTAGTTTTAGAACACTGGCTAATTCCTACTTATCTTTCAGGAATCAGCTAGACAACACTTTCTCTGAGAAGCCATTCTCAGTCCACTCTAAACCCTATTAACACACAATCTTCTAATTAACTATTTCCTTATGTCTCTCCAATGAGATTTGATGAGGACGTGACAGTATTTCTTTATCTCTATATTCCCTAATGAGTACTACAGTACCAGTCGTAAGATAAATATTTAATAAATGCAGGGTGAATGGATGAATGGTCTTGAAAGTACACATCAGTCTATGCTTTTCCACTAGAAAGAAAATCTACTAAAACAAAGCCATATTTATAACTCAATTGAAAATTTTTTCATGTTTATAGTTTGAGAGGTTTAATTAAACATGAATACCAGGTGTCATAATTATCGAAATGCATATGTGTCCTATTTGTGGTAAGAGGTCAAGATGCTTGATGTGTCAAGTGTGCAAAATTCAAGGTAGATAAATTTATTTTTCAAGTTGCTCTATTTTCTAGGTTTTACTTTTTCTGCAAAGGCATGTTTTTGAATTAACATGTATTTCTTGTATGCTTTAATATCACTTATTAATAAAAAAAATTCAAGTTTCAAGAAAAAAAATTTGGACAGTTTTACTATTAAGAAATTATTAACTATAGTGAAACTTAATTCACTTAAAAACTTATTAACTCCTATTAACACTCCTTAATTCAATGAAATTTCATCTTAACCTTTACTTGGAGTAAAAATATAGACTGGTTTGCTTTACCTTTCTGAAATACATACAAGTTATTTTTGGATGAATTAGAGGGAGGGGAAGGATGGATCTGTGAAACCATCTAAGTCTTCAGTCTTTTGAGGGTGAAGAGGTGTGGTTTTTAATTAATATTCCAATTTTGATAATAATTAGTCAATATAAATTTTTCACATATTTTGAAAAGTTTACATTTCTGCTTCTTCAGAAATAAACCCGTTTGTGTAGGTTTTTTAATGTGTTAATGTCTAATTATGTGTGTTTATCTCCCCAGTACTAGGGATTGAACCCAAGGGTGCTCTACCACTGAGCTATACCCTCATCCCTTTTTATTTTGATACAGATTTTTTTCACCAAGTTGCCCAGGCTGGTCTCAAACTTATGACTCTTCTGTCTTTGCCTCCCAAGTAGCTGGGATTTTGTGTCCCCAGTCCCAGCTTAAAATATCTTTTAATTTTATTTAATTTATTTTTTTAGTTGTAGATGAACACAATACCTTTATTTTATTTATTTATTTATTTTTAAGTGGTGCTGAGAATTGAACCCAGTGCCTCACACATGCTAGATAATCGGTCTGCTACTGAGCCACATCCCCAGCCCCTTAAAATATCTTATATATGGAATAAAGTTACCAATCAGCCTATAAATTTGAAAAAAATAAAAATTCACCACTATATTGATATTTTAAGACAAAAAATATTTAAAAATTTATATACCGTTACTCATACTTTCTACTGTGAACAATCACATATACTTAGCAATCCTTAGAAACTCATCCCATAAAAGTGGTTGGCAAACTTTTCCTATAAAAGACCAAGCAATAAATATTTTAGGTTTTGTGAGCCAGATAGTCTGTTAAAATTACTCAATGATATTGTACCAAGAAAGGAGTCATAGACAATATACAAATAATGAACGTGGCTTTGTTCCAATAAAACCTTATTTACAAAAAACAGGTGGTGTACCACTTGGTTTGCAAGCCATAGTTTGCCAATTCCAGTCCTAAAAAATGATATGAAAGGGGCCGGGGATGTGGCTCAAGCGGTAGCACGCTTGCCTGGCATGCTTGCGGCCCGGGTTCGATCCTCAGCACCACATACAAACAAAGATGTTGTGTCCGCCGAAAACTAAAAAATAAATGTTAAAATTCTCTCTCTCTCTCTCTCTTAAAAAAAAAAAAAAGATATGAAAGTCGCAGAACTAAAAGCTGTCTAGTTTCCAGGGTCTACTGCCTTACTGTTGAGAAAGAAAATTGAATCTAGTTTCCTTCATTCCCAACCCTTCACTTTAAAAGATTCAATCATGGGACCTGAAATGAACTTGCTCATGCCCTGCCAAAAGACTCCAGCCAATTTCAATTCAGTCAAAAAGAAGTGTTCCCTGACCAAGCCATCAAAAGTAGTTCATGGAGCTGTATGTAAAGATTTAAAGTAGTCAAAGGATTTTCCTTTCCAAAAGACTTCATGATACAGGTATTATTATTCCCAAACTTCAGATGAGGAAACTGAAATTTAGAAAGGATAAGCTACTCATCATCTAGGGTTTTTGTTCCATAACCAGTGGTAATGTCTCTGCATTATTCTGCCTCCAACATAGTGAATCAGTAAAGACCAAACTATGGCAAATCAAAATATATAATCAGCCTTTAGAAGTCAGATCTTACACTACAAGAAAATATCATTTTTGTAAACTTAATATTGTTTTCTTTTATAAAGGTTGTCAAGTCAGTATTTAAATTATTGTTTTAAACACGTTTTGGACATTTTTGCTTTAAATAATCACTTTCAAAGTAACAAATAACCAGAACTAATTTCTTTTCTGGATTTTGTGGTTTCTGTGCTCCTACCTGACTCTGGTTAATAGCTGCATGGTTGCCATGGAATGGAGACTGTCTTTCTTTATCTCGATGATGCCGACTGCTGTGTTTACTTCTCTGCACCTGCCGCGTAATTTTGCAATCTGAAAAAGAGAGAAACAAGTATACCAGAGTGATTTCCACACTAAGTAAAACTATATCCTTGCTTAATAAGAACCAGTACAACTACCCTTAGTAAGTCATTTGAATATTAAAACCAGATTGCAATATCCAATTTCTTGTACAATTTTTATACATACACATAATTCATTTCTTTTAAAAAGAAACAGAACATGGGCTGGGGTTGTGGCTCAGCGGTAGAGTGCTCACTTAGCATGTGCAGGGCCCTGAGTTCGATCCTCAGCACCACGTAAAAATAAATAAATAGGGCTGGGATTGTGGCTCAGCAGTATCGCGCTCGCCTAGCACATGCGAGGAGCTGGGTTAGATCCTCAGCACCACATAAAAATAAACAAATAAAATAAAGGTTTAAAATAAATAAATAAAGGTATTGTGTCCAACTACAACTGAAAAATAGATATTAAAAAAAGAAAAAGAACTATATTCACACATTGTTCTCAATCTTCAAGCTTCCTGAGTTCTAAGCAAATAAGTTTTCAGCACCAAATAAATTATAGCTTTAAGAATTCAAAAATAACAGCAATTATTCTCTCATTGTTCTTACCATAAGTCAACTTGGATTCAGAATTCTTTACTAAATACCTAACTTTTAATGGCTCCAAATTAAGTAGCATTTAAAGATCTAGTCAAGCCATGAAATGTATTCATTTCAATGATTATCCTCTGACTGAATTTTTCTTTCATTTACACATATTATGTGTAAAATGCAAATGTCATTAATTATAGGCAAAGAAAACAGTAATCACAGCACAGAACCATAATCAACTGGGTTAAACTGAATTACTAAATTTCAGAAACATTACAGAAAAATAACAAACATGAATTTGCTGTATCATTATAATTTATAAATCTGATGTTTACACTGTATTGACAGTTATGGACTCTCCTACCAAAAAAAAAAAAGTTCTCACATAATCAGGTAAGTAATGTGTACACTTCCCTATTCAAATCTTTATCTAAGCCAGGCACATGGTACATGCCCACAATCCCAGCAGCTCAGGAAACTGAGGCAGGAGGAACAAGAGTTCAAAACCTGCCTCAGCAACTTATGGAGATCTTAAGCAACTCAGTGAGAACTTGTTTCTAAATAAAATACAAAAAAAGGGCTGAGGATGTGGCTCAGTGGTTAAGTGCCCCTGGGTTCAATCCCCAGTACCAAAAAAACAACCATCAACAATCAATATCCAATCGATACAATTACTTTTTCTGTTGTTCTCTCTCAATTTAAAAAAAAAATCAATGAAAAATGACAAATTGTTGCTGCCTACAACTTTAAAGAACTAGCCAAATGAAAGATAAAATTTCCAGTTCCTTGGAACACCTTCCTGACCTCCTTAAGTTGATCCGTACTGCCCCAGGATGCTGAGCGTTTGTGAGATCCTTTCTTCTTTTCAGAGTACTCTTCAGCCCATGCACTCTCTGTCTATAATGGAAAAAAAGAGGTGTGGAGAGCATTTAACAAAAATCACTTAATAACAATGTATGTCACATTTTTTTCTACTACAAAATACATTCTTCTTACCAAAAAAAAAAAGATATTAGAAAGCATTTAAAGTACCACAAAGTACCCACAATTCTCCCAGCACCAATTATATTTAGCATATTTCATTTTTATTACTAAGTTACCAATAACTTATTCATATACTATTATTATTACAGATTTATTGAACAAAGTATAGATGCATGCTAATAATTGCTAGGCACTATGTTTTCTTATGCTGTATCTGATTTAATATATGTACAGATTTCTAGAAGTTTTGCAGATAAGAAAACTGACAATGGGGGGTTAGATAAGTTGCCTATCTCACAGATTGAAGTGGGAGAGCCAAGAAATAAACCTGGCTCCAGAGCTCACAATCTTAATTTTTATACTGTCTACTCTTGCTTTAGAAATGTACAGAGAATAGCTTCAAAAATGTTCTTTAGGGGGCTGGGGTTGTGGCTCAGAGAAAAAGCGCTTACCTAGCATGTATGAGGCACTGAGTTCGATTCCCAGCACTACATAAAAATTAAATAAAGGTATTGTGTCCACCTACTAAAAAAATAAATGTTTTAAAGAAAAATGTTCTTTAGGTTATACTAAATCTGGAATTTGAAAATAATGTATCAGAAATTAAAAATGATAAATCATGAATTCTTGGCACACGAAAATATGCTTTGCTAGACACACTGGCATATGCTTGTGTGTTTGGGTAGCTAAGGTGGGAAGATCATTTGAGGCTACAAGTTCAAGACTAGCCTGGCAACAGAACAAGACCCCATCTCCAAATAAATAAAAATAAATTGCAGGGGCCATGGTTTAAAAAAAAAAAAAGTAAAAGAAAATATACTCAACTTCATGGATAATAAGAGATATGAAAGTTAAAACTTTAGCAAGACTGGGCAATTTGATAACAAACTCTCCTACATTGCTGGTGGGAGTGCACCTTCATGGTTAGTGCAGCCTTCATGAATGGAGATTTTGGCAACTGTTATTAAGGTTATAAATACACATACTGCTTGATAACTGCAATCCTACTTTTGGTAATTTATCCTGAAAACATATGAAATATACATTTTTTAAAAGTATTTATTTTTTAGTTTTATTTTTTGGCAGACACAACATCTTTGTTTGTATGTGGTGCTGAGGATTGAACCCAGGCCGCACGCATGCCAGGTGAGCGTGCTACCACTTGAGCCACATCCCCAGCCCAATATACATTTTAAAAAAATAGTTTTTCAGTTGTAGATGGACACAATATCTTTATTTATTTATTTGAGCTACAGCCCCAGCCCCATGAAATATTCATTTTAATGTGCAAAATGACATATTCATATGATTCCTTACAGCAGTGTTCTTGAAAGACTGAAATAATATAAATACATTGAATTTATTTAGACTTCACTAAATAAATTGTAGTATATCTTTACAATAGATTTGTAGCTATAAAAAATAAGTAAGAAAATTCACAATGTAAAAATGTTAAACAATCTCCAGATACAGTTAAGAAAAGCCTTAAGGCTCAGTATGGTCTGTATAGCAATTGCCTTTATATGGGACAGCTAGAAGAATATGTTATCTCTGGAAGAAAATACATGGTAACCAAAGAAACTGATTATCAGAGGCTGCCCTGTGAGAGGAAGATTCTTCACTATAGACCACTCTGGACCACTTTAATTTCGTACTACATAAACATATATAGCCCATTCAAATCAACAAGTAGTACTAAAAAAATATTACTCACAGTTTTAGGTATCCTTTACATTCAACCTACCAATTACTAATTATAAAATGGTCTAGTTTCAAACAAAGACAAAAAGAATAAATTTTCCAAAATCAAGAAATTATTTTCCTTAACATAAATTCCTAAAAATAAATTATGTTCCTAGATTATGTTCCAAGCCCAAGCTTGGATCCCTTTGTAACTAAGAAGACTCTATTCTCACAACGAACCTTAAAAACCAAATCAGAGGGCTGGGGTTGTGGTTCAGCGGTAGAGCGCTCGTCTAGCACGTGCGATGCCCTGGGTTCATCTTCAGCACCACATAAAATAAATAAATTTTAAAAAGGTATTGGGCTGGGGATGTGCTCAAGCGGTAGCGCGCTCACCTGGCATGCAGGGGGGCTCTGGGTTCGATCCTCAGCACCACATAAAAAAAAATAAAATAAAGATGTTGTGTCTACTGAAAACTAAAAAATAAATATTAAAAAAATTCTAAAAAAAAAAAAGGTATTGCATCCAACTTCAAATAAAAAATAAAAATATTTTTTAAAAAATCAGAAGAAAGGTCTGCAATTCAGTCAACTGCCCACTACTACTGAATGCCCTGTTCCATCCTAAACTCCACTTTCAGTTCAGGATTACCAATTAGTAAGTCATCCCAGGAGTAGTAACTCTTATTGTGCTTATGATTTTTCATGTGAGGGTCCACTGGCTCTGTAGTCAGTTGTTAAAACACTGGTCACAAACACCAACTCATGTAGGATGGGGTGATGTATAGCTATAAACCTGGTGACACAAGAGAATCTCAAGTTCAATATCAGCCTTGGCAACTTAGCGAGAACCTGTCATAAAGTAAAAAATATAAAGGGCTAGGGATGTGGCTTAGTGGTTAAGTGCCCCTGGATTTAATTGAAAGTATCAAACTAAAACCAAAATCAAGGTAATGAATGATCTTAATACTAGAAATCGTTTAATTTTAAATCATTCTTGATAAAATACAGCACAGTATGCATAGTTCATATATTGATGTTAAACACATGTTTAACTTCCATCCACCTCAGTTATATGTCTCTGTAATCTTAGACAAATTACTTATTATATAGGATGACTTTTAATTTCTCCATTTTATAAACAGGAATAACAATCTATCTACTAAAGTAATAGGTGAATTAAAGGAGTTAATATATGAAAAAGGTTTAATTTTTAAGCCCAATGCCAAGGACAAAATATTCAATAAGTGTTAGCTGCAATTTTCATTCTATTATGTCAAGTATTCAAACTTTTTTTTTCTTTTTAATCTCTTATGGAAATATGTTAAAAATGGCCGAGTCATAATTTCACTTAAAAACAGGATGGAAACAGTAATTTTCACTTTATAAAAATATTTTTGTGAGTTCTAATCAAATGTAAGTGATAACAGGAATTATAAACATTAAGTGGGAAAAAACAAAGCCTGATTCTTGAATGTAGTCTATGGGCTTGCATCTGAGTGAGAGATGAAGCAAAGAGGGCAAAGCAAGAACAGGAAACTATTCTCCACATATAAATGTCCATATTAATTTTATACTTAAAATTTCCATATTAATTTTTATAATTGGTGCATAATAACTACACAGAAAAGTGAGTTTCACTGACTCATTCATACATGTACATAATTTTCACATATATCACTATATTAACTTTGTGCTAAAAAAGATCATGAAGAACTACTTTGTGGATATAGTTTCAAATTCAAGAATTGTTTGCTTAAACAATTGTTTGCATATACTTGCATCTAGGGTTTAATAGTTTCATATTTAACACAGGTCTTACTTGCTAAGTTTCTCAAATGGAGCTTGAGGTAAAGAAGTTGGCTTTTGCTTCTTTATATAAAAAGGAGGGAAAAAACCTTAAATAAAAGGGAGAATCTCTATAGATAGAATAACCCTTAATACATTAATTTAAAAACAAGGTTGCAGAAGATAGTATAAAATATTGTACTTTATATGTGTAAAGAAAATCACCTGGGCTGGGGTTATGGCTCAGTAGCAGAGTCCTTGCCTAGCATGTATGAGGCCCTGGGTTTGATCCTCAGCACCACATAAAAATAAAGTTATTGTGTCTATCTACAACTAAAAATTTAAAAAAAAGAAAAAAGAAAAAGAAAAAGAAATCACCTTTTCCCTTTTTTTTTATTCTACCATTTTTGCAATCTAAAAAAATAAATAAATAACTGAAGGATCATCAATGAATACTAAAACTGATAGATAAAAAGTTAGTAGGGAACAGGATACATGTGCCACAAATTATCCCACAAACTACTTGCTAATTGCAAAAGGAAAAAGTTCATTTACAAATGTGCAGGATAATTCATTTTTAAAACCCCAATATTATTAAGAAAAAAGTATTAGAATGTGCTGCTCTTAGATTAAAGAAGATCAAAGAAAAATAAAATATGATGTATAAATTTTGGATTGGATCCTACTTTAAAAACAAAAACAAAAACAAAACAAGGTCTGGAAACAGGCCTCTTAGAATACTAGGCTTACCCAAGAAAGCTACTGAGAGGCAACAACAGAACTTATTCTGAGGTCAATGGAATTAAGTCTGGGGAAAAAAAATTTATCATTTTCCTTTCCTCCTAGTATTATATTCTTTCAGCCAATAGAAGGAGGTTTTATTAAAAACAGCAACTGTTACTCAAATAATAATAATTTAAAAATAAAATAGTTCCATCTCTTCAGTTTTTCCTTAACATCAAGATTTTAATTTTTGGTGTTACTTTTATCTAGCAAACATTTTTTTTTTCTGCAATAAAGTCCAGATTTTTCTTGCAATAAAAGAAACAACCCCTATCTGGGTATAGTGGCGCATGTCTGTAATCCCAGCGGCTCAGGAGGCTGAGGCAGGAGGATCACTAGTTCAGAGCTAGCCTCAAAAATGGAGAGGTGCTAAGCAACCCAGTGAGACCCTGTCTCTAAATAAAATACAAAATACAGCTGGGGATGTGGCTCTGAGTTCAACCCCGGGTACCAAAACAAAATAAAACAACCACTCCTAAACAAGTTTGTAGATTTATAAATAACTACCTTCAATAATTTGACTTTGTATTAGTTTCTAATTTACCAAATATTTAATTTTAGTAGGTTTTAATTATACGCCATCTTATAAAGTTTCTGAACACAGATCTTTTCCACAAATTTGAAAAGCCAATCCATAAATTTCAAAAATAAAGCAATCTTATAAAATATGGAAATCAACCTGCAACAGTGAAAAGAAAGTCTCTGAGACATGAAAATTCTAAGAGAAAATAAGAATTTTAAAAGCAAAAGATGACTGGTGTATGCCATAATAAATAGGAAAGAAATCACAATCACATATTCAAAATAAACTACCTATTAGATAAATAAGCCTGAGGTAAGGAAGTTGGAAAAAGAATTGTAGATGGATATAGAATTATAGGTGGATAGTTTTTTCCCTGGTTATACAAAGTTATCCAACTATCTTCTGTCCTGTTACTTTTTGTATTGAAATTAAATCCAGGCTATTGCACATTAACTTTTCTTTTTTGTTGCTTATTTTTGTATATTTAAGTTGGATAACTTCCATATAACTTGTTTTTATTAATATTGGGAAAGTATCTGAACTCGATAGAAGATATACAAAGAGCCAAAAAGCACATACAAAGGTGCTCAACAAACCAGGAGTGGTATAATCCCAGTAGTTTGGGAGACTGAGGGAGGAGGATCACCAAGTTCAAAGCTAGCCTCAGCAACTTAGTGAGGCTATGTCTCAAAATAAAACATACATATATATATTTAAAAAAGAAGGGGGCACTGGGAATGTGGCTTAGTGGTTAAGCGCCCCTAGGGTTCAATCCCTGGTATCAAACAACAACAACAACAACAAAAAAACAAAAAAATAAAAAAACACTGTTCAACATCATTAATCATATACAAAAACACAAATCAAAACTGCTTCACACCAATTAGGAGACTGTGTTTCTGGTGTATCTAATGTGAAAACAATCTGACAGTTCCTCTAAAAGGTAAATGTTTATTGTAAAAATAGTAAGATTTACATTAAACAGGGATGAGAGGTGGGAGGGAAAGGGAGTGAGAAGGGAAATCGCATGGAAATAGAAGGCGATCCTCAGGGTTATACAAAATGATATATAAGAGGAAAGGAGGGGTAAGACAAGATAATATAAATGGAAGAAATGATTTACAGTAGAAGGGGTAGAGAGAGAGAAGGGGAGGGGAGGGGAGGGGAGGGGGGATAGTAGAGAATAGGACAGACAGCAGAATACATCAGACACTAGAAAGGCAATATGTCAATCAATGGAAGGGTAACTGATGTGATACAGCAATCTGTATACGGGGTAAAGTTGGGAGTTCATAACCTGCTTGAATCAAACTGTGAAATATGATGTATTAAGAACTATGTAATGTTTTGAACGACCAACAATAAAAAAAAAAATAGTAACGAATTGCTATATGACCCAGTAATTCCACTCCTAGGTATGGAATAAAAGAAACTGATCCTTAAACTATGAATGGAACCACCATATGACCCAACTATCTCATTGCTTGGTATATATCCAAAAGAGCTAAAATCAGCACACTACAGGGATACAACCACATCAATGTTTAAAACAAAACAATTCAAAATAGCCAAGTTATGGAACCAATCTAGGTGCACTTTTGATAAGCCTCTCAGGAAATCCTAATATACACAAATGTTTCAGGAATTTGTACAAAGGGTAGAACAATAATTTGAGAAATGACTTTCAGAGTGAAACACTTCAAGATAAGAATTATAATAAACCTACCTGTGTAGCTTTGTCCCTCATGCAAGGTGCAGCTTGCCCATGACTGTCACGAGGCCAGTGCCCAGCTAGGTATGGAGCTGCAAGTGTATCCAGGGAAGAAGTGCGACGGATAATACTGGAAGGGCTTGAGGAAGGAGGTCGTGTTTTGTCACCTGGATTTAAAAAAATATATATTTATTTTAAAAAATAGCTTAGGAAGAAAACAAGTTATATAGAAGTTATCCAATTTAAATATACAAAAATAAGTAACAAAAAGGAACAAGTTAATGAGCAATAGCCTGGGTTTAATTCCAATACAAAAAATAACAGGGCAGAAGTTAGTTGGATAACTTTGTATAACCTGGGGAAAAAACTATCCATCTACAACTCTATATCTAGTTATATATTATTCAAAAGCGAGGATGAAACATTAATTCTCAGATGACTAACAAGATTTACCAAGCAAAGACACCCTCTGAAAAATATTACTTTTTAAAGAAAGGTACCACCAAAAGAAGATCGAAAAGATCAGGTCAGGGTTTAAGAAGCAGCACTGACAAGTAAATAAATTAACAAACTAATGGATAAACATATGTGAACATTTACTGTAAAAATAATAACTAAGCAGTTTAAAAAAACTAAAATACTAGATAACAATATGAGAATTGGGATAAGGGTGAATGGACAGGAGGAAAAAAGGGGACTCTATTTTAGCCTAGGGAGTAATGTTTTAAAATTTGGCACTTTATAAATACCATGAACATATATGTCAATAATCAGCTTCAAAGTGCTAGCTGTTAACTTTCTTCTTTTTGGTGGGGTCATGGAGTATTAGGGAATGAACCTGGGATGCTTAACCACTTTATTTTAAGACAGGGTCTTGCTAAGTTGCTTAGGGCCTTGATAAGTTGCTGAGGCTGGCTTTAAACTTGCAATCCTCCTGCCTCCCAAGCAGCTGGGATAAGTATGCGCCACCACGACCAGCCTGATAACTTTTTTCTAACGCTCTCTAGTCCTAAGAACTCTGGAGCTGCTTTTTGATGGTCTAAAATGCCCTTGACTATTATAACCCTAAACTGGGTGGAGCTGTGTATTTTCTGAATCAGAATCATACTTAGTTCCCTTCTCATCAGCTTATCAGAGACCTGGAGGTTGTGAGGGCTAGCTAGACCACAGCAAGAAAGAAAGGGCAAGTACTAAGAAGTAATGGGGAAGATCTAAAGAACACACAGAAGACACAAGAAAGGAATACTCCAGAGAAAGAAAACACCTACTAGAGGGAAAAGGAAAGAGGAAAAGAATATCAGTTCTAAATATACAACCAATCACAGAATGTCAAAAGGACTTTAGAGATGTGGCCCCAATGTAATCATTATTACCTTTCTTCACATTTGTGTATCATTCATTTAAGCACATTCTGTGAAATAGGTATTATCCTCATTTGTTAAATGGGGTAGAGAAAAGAGGTAGGCTAAGTACATGGAGAAAATATTTGCTTGTTGTTCAATAGCTAGTTATAGTAATACCATGATCTGAAATCAGGTTTCTTTCCACTATATTCATGTTGCCTCCCTATGGTGAGAGGAGTATTTGAAGGCTTAACTCCAGTTCTACGCCTAACAGATTTCTATCTATGAGAGAAACAAAGAATGGAACAATTCCTGCTCTTCAGTATAGGAAACCAGATGCTATGATATAAACAGTCTCAATTAGTATAGACACACACCTAAGAGCCAAAGAATCACTTAAGCATTCTCCTAAAAAAGGTATACTCGGGGACCCCAAATCAAAACTCTAGGACTACCAAATCAAAATTTCTAGGGGTGGGGGGAGTAATTTTCTTTAGAACCACATTATCCTTGGCATCCAATAAATGTCTACCTAAATCTCTTTCTTGTTTATAAATTAAAACCTTGTTTTATAATTTTCAGGGAACTAGGAAAGAATAATGAAAAATCACATAGGAAGTCAAACTCATGGCCAAAAAAAATTAGTGACAATTTTTCATATCATTAGTAACATTATTTAAAGTGCCTAGTTATTATCCTACTCCAAACATCAACAGAACCTTCAGAGGATGGCTTAATAATACAACTGCCTTGTGATAACTTACCAGCTAAAAAGACAGCTTTCAAGATAAAGCTCACTGATCCTCTGCTATTTAGATTACCCTAGGAATGCATAAACCAAATCAACTGAAAGAATCAACCACAAGCTTTGCAAAATGAGTTAGTTTCAGAGTAAATAAAAGGGGTATTTACCAATACATGAATGTTGACTAAAAGATAGTCATGTGGGCTGGGGTTGTGGCTCAGTGGTAGAGCAATTGCCTTGCATGCGTGAGGCCCTGCGTTCGAGCCTCAGCACCACATATAAATAAATAAATAAAATAAGGTATTGGGTCCATCTACAAAAAAAATTATTAAAAAAAAATATAGTCATGTGAATAACTATAGAAAAAGAATGGCAATAAAGCAAATGTAGTATATAAGATTATATAAAAAAGAGAAATGAAAACATTGCAAACATCAATTTCTAGTTAATAACTAACTTGATTAACATTTCTCATGTATGAAAACTTACATTCAGGCCTATTTTTTTTTTTTTTTTTGATGGTGGTGGTAGTGGGGACTGAACCCAGGGTCTCACACCTCACACATGCTAGGTAAATGCTCTACCACTGAGTTACGACTCCAGTCCCCACAAAATGTCAAATATATATATATATATATATATATATATATATTTGTTGTTGCTGTTGTTGTAAACGAACTTTATTTTATTTTACTTATTTTTATGTGGTGCTGAGGATCGAACCCAGTGCCTCACATGTGTGAGGCAAGTGCTTTGCCACTGAGCTACAACCCCCACCTTCAAATGCCAAGTTTTGATAAATAATCATCAAGTGTCAATCAAGACCACACATGTGGTTTAACCATTGCAAATGAATCTATATATAATTTTCTGTAAGAGAAGAGTGAGGCTGGTTAGAATTAGCAGTGAAAGTGGAAAACATGTTCTGTAAATAAATGGACCTCATTAAAACTATATTCAGGGTGCACATCTTTTAAGAATGACTCCTCAAATCTCAGAGTGAAATTAAAGTATTTCAAAACTAATGATCACGTTTAAGACTCTACTTACTTATAAAGAACACTTAAAATGAATTGCAGGATAAACAAGATACAACAAATTCCAAAATGAAAAGAAAGTTGAATACATTAGAGTCATATAGTGTAATATTATAGGCCATTCAAAAGAATAAACACAGAAATTGACATGTTCTGATGTACAGAATCATTGATTATAAACTAAGCAAGTCCTCATACAAAAGGCAAAAATCTCATCTCTTGTTTACAAAAGTAGTTAGAAATAAACATGGGAAGAATCTGGAGAAAATATGCAACTAACCTTTTGGGAAAAGAATTAGGTTTTTAATTTCTATAGGCATTTCTGTACTGTTTGAATTTTTTGTAGGGCATTTATAGCCAGAGGAAAGATAGAAATAACAAAATTTAAAACTAAGTTACTGATTTTTTGAAATAATAAAACGTTGAAATATATATAAATGAATGCATTCGATTTCTGAACTTTTCATAGCTTATAATATCTGGCTTTGGGGAAACTATGAGCCACAGGCAAAATCTGGTTTATACCTGTTTTATTTATATGGCAAGCTAAAAATATTTTGCACATTTTTAAATGGTTTTGAAAAAAATAAAAATAATATTCTGTGATATATAATAATAAAATTCAAATTTCAATGTCCATAAAGTTTTATGGGACACAGCAATATTCATTTATATATTATATATAACTGCTTTTATACTGTAAAGGGAGAATTATGTTTGTGTAGCAAAAACCTCATGAGGTACCCTCATAACTTCACAATATGCCTGAGAATACAGGCATATGCTACCACACAAAGCTTAAAATATCAAACCAAACAGAATATTAAATATTACTGTTAAAAATATTCATTAAGAGGCTACACTTATTTTATGATAGCACACTTCCCTTGATCTGCTTTTTATTCCATCACTGTTAATCCTTTTTATTTTATAGCCATACTTATGATGCTCTTGATTTGTTGATTATACAGATCAATTTCATTAAAGTCCAAAGATAACAAGTCTTTAGGTATATTTTGTATCAAATTAAAAGAGAAAAATTGTGCTTTCATAGTTGCTACAAAGAAATACTGGAGAGATTTGGTGCGAAACAACAAAACACAAATATATATACACACACAAACACATATATATAGCTAATAAAATTACCTGAGGAGTGTAATGCTTGTTTATTTTTTTGTGTATATCTTTGCAATCTATTTTATATATACTTGACAAAAGAGACTGTGAAATATTTAGCCATGCAGAATATGTGACCAGACCAGAGCCTGTGTAGGAAGACTTTTTGGTAATCTTTAACTCTACCCTAAAACGATCGACTACAAGTTATTATGTGTTACCTACACTTCAATCAGTAATATTAGCAAATCCCGAAGTGTTTGAAACATTAGTTTGTTTCCCTTGTACATTCTTTATTCATATTACAATGCTGTAACTGGGTGGTCCTTTTTAAACAAAACATTATTTGCAAAACAGAGGGTATTATTTGTTTTTAAAGCTTTTGTAAATAAAGGCTTCAGAAATGTTAAAAAAATATTAAATAAATGTATGTATACGATTACATTAACAAAGCTACCATTCTAATTTTATATAATGGCAAATACTTTGCCCGTTATTCCCTGTACATGTGAAGACATTTTTTAAGACCTATCTTCAAATTGCATTACATTATTGTTTTAGTAAGAGACTTACATAGTTACAAGTATGAAAGTTTAGTTGCTAGTAATGTGACCCACATAACAAAAAGATTCAATTCCATTAAGATAATAGTTACAACAGCTGTGTTGCCAATAATCACAAAAACTGCTTCACAGATATGTCTCAAGTACATAATAGGCTTTCAAAATGACAATTATTTCACCAAAACAATGCCAATTTGTTATAAATACTAACCATCTCTCCATGTACAGACTACTTTTCAGTATGTTTTGAATCAACAGAAGAGAAACACATGTAGTACATATCCATAAGTTCAAGGAAACATGTCCTCTCACTACTAATTCTGAAACTTGAAAAGCAATAAATACACATACGCACACTAC